TACTGAAATTGATCTGGCTGTGTGGTAGTCCTCCTTTTCTATCTTTTATTTCAATTGCCCTTTTACAAAAGATGGATATACTTCTCATCCATCCTCAGTCTTATTCTGGTGCTTTGTCCATGGTGTAAAAAACTCTGGGCTTGAAACAAAGGAGAACTTCTCAATTTTTACGTCAGAACTCAAAGTATGGCTTCTGTCTTTCCTTGGCTTACACATATATCCGGTAAAGGTAAACTCTGGCATGATAAATGAGGCAGTTTGGCCCATGCTGGAAGGTTCTGAATTTAGATACAGTACAACCATGCAGTTATGGGGAATTATGATAGTTTTCCATCAATGGTCTCACCTCTTCCATACTTGAATGATTGTCAAAGAATGCACACCCCCTGAGGAAAACCTCAAGAGTTTTGTTCAAACTGACAAAAACTGAGAAAGTTCACCTACTGGAGAACCTCTCCATAGGAAGTCTGGGCAAAAGGACAGCGTTCCCAGATATAAGTTTGAGTTGCAGAAAGAAAAGCAAAGAAAATGACAAAAGTCTGGGTAAACATTTTCAAAAGTGACTGCAAAAAGTAGTGATAATAAAACTGCTTATTGAGATTCAAAGAAAAGATACACTTAAATACCAGACAGTAACTGCGTATATAGCAAAAGGTTCATGGACTTAAAGGATTCTAAGGTCCTACATTATCCAGGAGAAAGACAATAATCTTGTTTTAGATTTTAGATACTGATAAATTCAGCATGCATGTTTCAATTTATCTAAAACAATAGAATCAGAGAGTAAAACTTCTAAGTTAACTGAGGGAAAAGTGAAATAAGATAATTAATTTAAAATAATAAAATTTAAAAGAAGGCAAGAAAAGGTAGAAAGAAATGCAGAACATCTGAAAAGAACCCAAATAAGACAGATTTAAGTCCATCATGGAGCTTATGTGCTAGTGGAGGAAACATAAAACTAACAAGTGAAACCAGTAAGTGGTTTCATGCAGCAGTTCGTGCTGTGAAGAAAATCAAGTAGGGTAAAGTATTAGGTGGTGCCCAGGAAAAGAGTGTTTTCAAATAAGGGAAGATTTGAGGGAAAGAGAGAGGAAGTAAGACTCCAAGGTTTTCATCCTGAGCAAGTAGAGGTTGAGAAGGGAAGAGGAAACTAGAAGAGACAGCCAGTGAGGCGGGAGGAAAACCAGAGCGTGGCCTGGTGGAGATGGATTTCACAGACGGCGTGATCAACTGTGAAACTAAGAAAGCCTGGTTAATTTACTACAAACATTTTTCCTAGACCTGAAGGACACCGCCAGCAGCAGGCTCAGTCTTAAGAACAGTTATCACAGTCTCAATAGACACATATAAACCTACAGAGTAGAGTGGCTAAGTGCAAGGACTCTGAAGCCAAATTACCTGAAGTTGAGTGCTGGCTCCATCTCTTTCTAGCTGTGAATTGTGTGATCTTGGACAAATTATTTAACTTCTCTGTGCTTTGGTTTCCCCATGTGTAAAATGGGGATATTTGGCACTTGTTCCCTCTGGCTGTTGTGATTAAATGTGTCAGTATTTATAAAGCACTTAGACTATACCTGGCATAAAGTAATCAGCACGTCTTTATTAAAAGGAGAGAGAAAAGTCCCTATAATGGCAAAGGTAGGAAGGACAACTTTGCTTGTAAAGTACCAACTTGAATTCTTAGCAGGTGCAAACTGGCACTAGACTTACGTAACTGAACTAATCAGCACGACTGATAGCATAACTATATTCTGATAGAGAAACAGCATGAAATAAACTATGGGTGGAACATGTCTAGTTCTTTCTTACTATAGTATCTTGAATTTAAGGTGTATTCTTAAATCAGATTATATTTCAATTATCATAAGGAATCTCCTATTAAATGCTTACTGGTTCAGAACTCTAACCTTATACTCTTTTTTATTTTATTTATTTTTTTTTTTTAAAGATTTTATTTTTTCCTTTTTATCCCCAAAGCCCCCCGGTACATAGTTGTGTATTCTTCGTTGTGGGTTCTTCTAGTTGTGGCATGTGGGACGCTGCCTCAGCGTGGTCTGATGAGCAGTGCCATGTCCGCGCCCAGGATTCGAACTAACGAAACACTGCGCCGCCTGCAGCGGAGCGCGCAAACTTAACCACTCGGCCACGGGGCCAGCCCCTCTTTTTTTTTTTTTTTTAAGGAAGATTAGCCCTGAGCTAACATCTGCTGCCAATCCTCCTCCTTTTTTGCTGAGGAAGACTGGCCCTGAGCTAACATCCGTGCCCATCTTCCTCTACTTTATATGTGGGACGCCTACCACAGCATGGCTTGCCAACCGGTGCCATGTCCACACCCAGGATCCAAACTGGCGAACCCCAGGCCATCAAAGCAGAAAGTGCACACTTAACCGCTGTGCCACCAGGCTGGCCCCATAACCTCCTACTCTTTTCCAGTTGGATTACGCCCTTTTCTCTTTTTCATGTAAAATAACCTCAGATGAAAAACAATAATAAACACTTTCTGTATTCACCTTAACAGAAGAAATAGCTGAACACTTCCTTGGTGTTAGATATTATATGGAGCCAAATGCATACTCTTTGTATAAAACACTAAATAAAATGCTTTGAAGCCGTCATAAAAGTTTATGACTCACTAACATGAAAGATAAAATGTGTACACATGAGCCGATTACACAATGGGAGTATATGGCTAACGAATGATACGGTAAGTGTTATGAGAGATAAGGCAGAGCTCATTACTGGTTGTAAAGAAGTTTCATGAACAAAGTGAGAATTTTTATCTGGGTCTAGGTAAAGGGAGTCATTATTGTCATTCCACTTTAAGATATGCAAGGACTCAAAACAATTTATAATATCAACTTATAAGGAAATTACTAGAGAAAGCACTTCAGCAAAATGAGGGCGTAAACTAAGCAGAAGACACTAGATCCATAAAACCAGGATTCCAATACAAGAGAGCGGCAGAGGGAAGTCCCAGGATGACAGCTATCTGGCAGGACTGCAGGGTCACCGCACAGATTGGAGCAAGAGGCTAGAGGAGGGAGGGAGAGGAAAGACGGAACTGATGCGGGATTTGACGTCTTTCATTTGATGTAAGAGAGGTATTGGGTCCACTGGAGGAAGTGAAAAAAGCAAGCAATAGATGAATTAAAAACACCAGTACTAAGACAAAGACAAAAACAGGGCAATTATTAACTTGAGGGGGACAGGTGTAAAAAATAATCACATCACACTACTTTTCCCAGCAGTGAATGGTATTTACAGTCATGATAAAGTAAATACTAACTGCTAACTTATCCGAAAACCATTACAAACCTATTTGCAGAATGGGGTAGACAGAGGGGTAAGAGACTTAACCCCCAACTACTCTAACTCAGAAGATAATTTCTATGCCACGTAAAAAAACAACATATAACGTAGAAACAGGGAGGTAAATTCCAGCTGAAAGAGCCAAAGAAAGCTGGAAGTATTGCCCGAGGAGTGAGACTTAGGGGAGGCTGGGATGGTGGACAAGGAGGGCACGGACTGCTGCATTTCACTGTAGGTCTTGAATAAGCACTATACGGAGAAAGCTTTTGATTAAAAATTAAAAGAGTGGACGGAAATATCAAAAGACTTTGCGAAGTGATATATACAGGGGCAGGATGGAATGGACGAGAAGTCTATCATTCATTCCTATAACAAATAGGTATCAAGCACCGTTCCATTTCCCAGCTAGGCACTAAGCTAGGCCCCAGGAATACAATGGTGAACGAAGACATACACGGTCCCTACTCTCAGGGAACCAATGCCTACTTGAGCAAATAGACAATGAACAAGAAAATAAACACATAAAAGCAGCACAGATTGTAGTAATAAGTGGTGTGAACAGAAAAAAATTAATTACTGTGATAGAAAATGGTGCTGAGGGGAAGACAGGGCAGCTACTTAGGGAAGGCCTTTCTGCGAAGAGTTGAGACTAGAAACACAAGAAGGGTAAACCAAGAAACGATGTGTATAGACTCATAGGCAGGAAAGTCTGGTGAGTCTAGAAACTGTTAAATGATGGCTCTCGGTGAGGCTGGAGAAGTACCAGGGATCCTGTTGTTAGAGGTATCAATATGGGGAGGCCTTAGGGCATACATATTTAAAGCCATGGGAAGACAGTGTAAATAGAGCATAACCCATAACCTCCTCTAGAGGAATTCCAACATTTCACAGGAGGAGCCAGTAAAGGACACTGAAAAGGTAGGGCCTGAAAAAGAAAGGCACAGCAAGGAAGTCCAAAGACTTCCCAACAACTCCCTAACATTTTTATGTGTCATTTTTCTAAAACTGCCCTATAGTGTGTATTTAAACAAAGCGCATTACAATTTGGTTTCCAGATTTTGCTTCAGTTCTGGAGATATCTGTATCCCGGAAAAATCCAATTACAATTAACTAGAAGGTTACTCCCCCCGACTCTAAGTTATATCAGCGTGGCCCAGGATGTTTCTTCGCATCACAGCCACAGGGGTCCCCTCTGTGCTTCCGGGGGGTCATCCGAAACAGTGCTAGGATTGCAACTGAGTTGTCATGGCGACTATGCCGAAGACCCTGCCCCCCGCGCCGCTTTAAAAGGAAACAATGCACCGTCTCACGCTCTCGGCGTGGTAAGGAAATCGAACACGCTGCCGTGCCTAGGGCGGAGCACGGAGCGCAGGAACCGTCGCCGGTAGCGACTGTCACCGGCAGCGTAAGTCGGTTCCGTTGCTTTGAGGCCGCTGAGACTAGAACCTGGGGCGTCATGGCGGCGGGCGGCGCGGCCCCAGGTAAATCAGCTGAGGGGCAGGGCCGGGGCCGCGAGCCTCGCCGACAGTCTCGGAAAACGCGCGCCAAAGCAAAGATGAGAGTCTCGGGAGGGATGGAGGGATGCAGAGGCGGCCGCGGCGGCGGAATTCAGGACGCAGGGCGCCGCGCTCCGACGCCCCAGGCCTGCGCCGGGGGGAGGGCGGCCTCTGCGCGCCCCTGAGCGTCCGGCGGCTGCCGGGACTGCTTCCGAGGTCACCGTCCCGGACGCGGCTGCAGAGCGCAGGCCCGCTGCGCGCCTGCAGGAGGGGACGAGCCCACCGGCGCTCAAACCTCGGGGCCCATGCCTCCCCTCCGCCCTGCTCCCGCACTCGGCCGTCTCCTTCCGTCTCTGCTCCGTTCCGTGTTTCCAGACGCGCCCGGCGCCCGGCCGAGGGCCCACGCCGCGGGGCTCTTCCGGCCAGGCCCGCCCCTCGCCCTAGCTGCTAGAGGCCCTGCGCTGTTCCGGGCGCTCCGGCAGCCGTCCAGCGCGCGCAGCCGGAGCCGAGGCTGCCACGGCGCCAGTAACGTCGGGGCCCGGGCTGGAGGACACTCTTCCCAGGGCATGGGCAAGCGGGGAGGCCGGCCGGGGTCCGCGCGCCCGCCCGAGGCCTGGGACGAGACGAGCGCAACAGGCGGTCCCCAGGAAGCCGCGCGGCGTGTGGGACGTGGGGATGCGAGAGGGCGCGCAGCCCCTATGGCGCGGGAGCGAGTCCATTTGGGCTCCCTCGTTGGGGGGAGGGAGCACGGTGGCTTTCTGTTGTATGAGGGGGAGGCCACCGAAGCTGCCCCCCTACATTAGACCCGTGCGCTGAGTTTGGAAAGGGTAGAAAGTCTCAGTAGTTTGCCACCGCAAATCTGCTTTCTGAGAACGATTTCCAGCCCCAAATTTGAATCCTGCCTCCCCTTTCAACCACAGCTGTGGGCTCGTCCAGGAGGGGGTGGTGGGGCGGGAAGTTGCTGGCGGGAAATTTAAAATTCGTTGAGATTCTGAACCCACGCTCACTCTGCGCTCTCTTGTACCCTCGCTCTCGCCTCGGCTCCCGTCGGGTTCTGCCATGCCCTGCTCTGAAGAGGCCCCCGCCATCTCCCCCAGCAAGCGGGCCCGGCCCGCCGAGGGCAGCGGCATGCGGCTCCGCTTTACCCGGCTGTCGGAGCACGCCACCGCCCCGACCAAGGGGTCCGCGCGCGCCGCGGGCTACGACCTGTACAGGTGAGTGGGGACCACCGGCTGCCTGCGCCTCTGCTATCTCGGTCCCCCGCTGAGAAAGCCCAGTTCCCTAGTTCTAGAGCTCTCAGCCCTGGTAGCTTACATTCAGGCCCTCTGCAGCCACGGTTTGAAACGTTCTCTTCAAAGATCACAGAAACAAACGCTTTTTGATATATATAGGATTTCTGCCCTTTTTGGTGTTGGAAATTTTAGCATTCTTTTTTAGCATAATTCAATAGGGATTTGGGCAAAGAGTGTAGACCGGTAGCTAAATATCAATAAATGTGCACTGAGACGTGGTTAGTTTTGCAGCATGCATTGTCCCCTTTCCACGCGGAAGGCGGAGATGAGTAAGGCCCGCCTTGGCCTTCAGGGAGTGGCCAGAGGGTGATCCTGTGCTCAGTAGAAAGAAAAGCCACGAGTAGGAAAATACCTCAGCTGCTTCTGGCTTCAAGGATTAGTAGGATTTCTCTATACGTCCATATTCAAGTTTATCCCAAGGACTGGGAATTTCAAGGGATCTGACAATGAAAATCGGAGATGTTGATAATACCACCACACCCTTTCATTTGTACGGCACTTTTTACGTGTACTCAAAACTGTCCCATATAGTCTTTAGTTTAATCCTCGCAACAATCCTGAAGAAGATGAGTGTTACTTTTTACAGATGAGGGAGTTTGTGAAGAGTTGAATTGGTTGCCCAAGGCTGGAAGGTAATAGAATTTTTGACCCTGAATTCAGTGCTTTTTCCTCTTGGCTACTGTGCCCAGTTCTTAGAACCTTTAACGTAGGTGAAAAGTGATAATGGAGAGAGAAAGTGTTTATTACATGACTAAATCCTGAGCCTTAGGATGTATTTTAAAGCATGTCAGGTAATGCTAATGTGAGAACTACCGGTCTAAGTCAGAAGAAGGAGAAAGGAGTGTGTGATGATAGTAAGGGAGACAAGAAAGAAAAACAAAATTGAGCTAAAGGCTATTGTGGCTGAAAGGGGTATAGTTCAGTGCTGTAACTTTCATGGATAAACGTAGAGTGATGGAATTTTACTACACCATATCTGAACACTGTTGTGAGTCTTAGGAGAGTCTTTGATTTAATGTGCTTTAAGGATCCTCCTAAAAACACAGGTGCCTTTCTGCATACTGAAATAAACATGATAATAACCGGTCTTTTTAATAAGTTAGGATCTAGCTATTTGAAGAGAGGAAATTCTAACGAAATAAGTAAAAATATAGTACCCCTTTACTAGTCTTAATTAAGGTCTCCAAAGTAACTTCGAGTCCTGCCTTTTGTGAAATCTCGTACGTTTCTATCAAGGAGGGGCCTACAGTAATAGCACTGGTAGCAGCATTTGCTGGGTGGACCTTAGAGAATCAGTTCCTCAGCAGTGTCCGTCTCCAGGGGTTCACAGAGACCCACCCTTCCTCAGCCAGTGAAGTTCATGGCCACAGCATGGTAAGCTTGGTAAACTACAAAGACCAGCAGAGTAGACGCAACACGCTTCTCCCTCCCCTTGTGTTGTCCACTCATTTTCCCCTTTCCTTCTGCAGTTTTTCCCTAATCGCTTAGAGGATTGTTGTGAGAATGAAATGAGTTATATAAAGCAGTTAGAACTATGCCTGGCACATGGTAAGGGCTTAATGTTAGCTATTATTAGCAATTATTTCCCCTTCTTTCTTGGTTCTTTCTTTATCTTCCTCTTTTCATACCATGTTAGTGAAGCATGCACCCTTTAAAAGTCTGCCTCTCTGCCCCCTCCTGCAAGATTATTACCTCCATTTCCCAACAAAATTTTGTGCAAGGGAGAATACATTTACATGTTGACACCTTGTTCACCCCCAAATTCACAAAGAATTAACTATATCTAACTACCAATTATTTTCTTCCACTGTCTTCCTAGTGCCTATGATTACACGGTACCGCCTATGGAGAAAGCCCTTGTGAAAACCGACATTCAGATAGCTCTTCCGTCTGGATGCTATGGAAGAGTAGGTAAGTGATTTAAGATACAGGTAACTATGTGTCAGGCTCTTCCTTTGTGATATATTCCTTCAGCTTAGTTTCATTTCTGCTATAAAGGAAGGAAGGGATATGACCCTGCCTGTGTCCTAAAATAAAGAGGTGTCATCTGTGATGGCAAATGCAGCCATCTGAAAACTTTCATTTATGTGTTTGCTTTTGCTTCTCTTTGCTTTTTTTCCTTCTGATTACTTACTTGAGCTTTCAGGAGGCTCACATTGGCCCAGGAGGTTGTTCTCATAACTCCTCGCTGTGAGAAAAACTGCAAATATAAATAGGTGATTTTTAACTGGAGCTTTTTCCAGTGTTAACCACTAACTTTCCCTTCAAGAATCAGATTGCATAAGAAGTCAAATTTCTTTGTGAAGATGGTGATGAGAATGGCTAATGTTTGTTATATGAGACTATAGAGGGCCCCTCCCCATGGCTGAGTGGTTAAAGTTCCATGTGCTCTGCTTCGGCCAGGTTCACCAGTTCAGATCCCAGGCACAGACCTATGCCCCCACTCATCAAGCCATGCTGTGGCAGCATCCCCCATACGAAATAGAGGAAGATTTGGCACAGATGTTAGCTCAGGGCTAATCTTCCTCAGCAAAAAAAAAAGAATAGACACAGGCTTAGGATAATGGCACATGGCATTATGTATCACAAGAGTAAAACTTCTAACTGCTGTGGGTCCTCCCTGGGGTGTTGGGGAAGGGAGACTCTTCAGTGTGCTAGCTCCCTCAGAGTGGGAGTGGCCAGGACAAAACGGAGTGCACCTCAGTAGGTTTGACTTTTCTGGAGCGAGTCAGTTGTCTCTGGCGAGAGTGTTTAGAACTTCTTTTCAAGGGTGTAGTTTCTAGCTAACTTCAGAGTAAACGTAAAGGAGCAAATGGAACTGTGAGCCGTGGGGGTGGGGGTGCGGCTAGACTACCACTGTCTTGTTAGCCCCGAGGGCGAGAACTGCTGATACTTTGGCCTTTAGAGACAGAAGATGAGCTCTCTCTTCGTATCTCTTTGGCAGCGTTGACCGAGTTTTTAGTGTCTCTTGCCGGGGGTAATCAGAAGATGGAGTGAAATAAAAGTAAAGGCAGGAAGGGGCAGCATTTATTGACAAAGTGCCTCATTTAAGTTATCCCGTAATAAAATACTAGAAGTTAGGATAATTAATGGTAGGCCCAATGCTCAAGTCAGCAAGTATCAGTTATAGATTTAGCTTTTTATTTTTTTCATTTTAAGAATAAAAAGCATAGTGGAATTGGGGCTAGCCTGGTGGCGTAGTGAAGTTCATGTGCCCTGCTTAAGGTGGCCCAGGGTTTGCAGGTTGGGATTCCAGGTGTGGACTTGGCACCACTCAGTCAAGCCACACTGTGGGGGTATCCCACATAAAATAGAGGAAGACGGGCACAGATGTTAGCTCAGGGCCAATTTTCCTCACCAAAAGAAAAAGTCATAGTGGAATTGGGTGTTTAAAGTTGAGTTTTTGGCATTTTGCTTGACTGCTTTTAGGCCTTTTCTCTTCTGCTTCATTTGTTTCCTATAGACATGTCTTTTGGCGTCTGAATCATGAGTAGGGGTCCCAAGTTCTAGGCTAACCTCCTGGTTGGGTTTGTGCCTGACTGTCTCTGACTTCTTCCCATCTACAGTGCAACATGCTCAGAACTCCCATCTCAGAACAAAAGTCCTCTTCCTCAGTCCTGTGTCCCTGCCAGCCACAGTCCTCCCTTTGTGGCCAGCCTTCTGGACAAAGCTGCCTAGGCTTGTCCTCCCTTGCTCACCTTTCAGTTCATTCCAGAGTCCACGGCTGCACCACCTTAGACCCTCCATCGACTACAGCCATGGGGGAGTGATTTAAGTTCCTTTTGAATTAAACCTTGTCAATATTTTCTAAACTGTCTTCTACTTTGATGATAGATTGTGATAAATACATTCTTTAATTTGGAACCACCTGCTAAAGTTAAGAAGAAGACATAGGTGTTACAGGAGATGAGAGTGACACGCTTAAATTGTCTCATTTGGATCCAATATCACCATTCCCCCTTAAGAGCCAATTTCTCCTTTTTGTTTTTCAGCTCCACGTTCTGGCTTGGCTGCAAAACACTTCATAGATGTAGGAGGTAATACATTTACATTTTTATTCTGGAAATATTTGTAAGTATTTACTTTATCTTTGCTTAAGAGGTAGTAATCAAGTGACAAACTTTATTTTTATTTTCAGAAAAAGGAAATGATTTTGTTGTATCTTAGCTTTTAGAAATTTCCATCTCTGAAGTAAGACAATTATGATAGAGTTTTAAATGCTATTTGGTTATGTCTAAATTTTAAGTGACCATTATGTGACATGCATGTTATTTTACTGATAGGCTAACTAGACACTATTCGATGGGTAAGATTTTTAGTCTAGTGATAATCTGCATTTAGTCCAAAAATGACTATTCATGGAAGAAAGTTGTTATTGTAAGGGAAGAAAAAGCTTTTATGTCATTATTTAAGCAATTGTGTTTTCCTTAAGTAATTATTAATAATAGTAATTAATTATTAAGTAATTAAGCAAAAGGTTCTAGGAAATGCAGATTTATGTTGTAAGAATTTTCTTAACTCTAAGAAAGCCAGCCATGTTTGTCAAAATATAAAAGGAGAATCTTTCCATAAAGTCAGGAGAGAAAACTGTGCTTCCCTATCTACATTTCTTTTTTTTGTTTTTTTTCTTGAAGAAGGTTAGCTCTGAGCTAACATCTGTGCCAGTCTTCCTCTATTTTGTACGTGGGACGCCTCCACAGCATGGCTGATGAGTGGAGTAGGTCTGCGCCCACGATCCGAACGTGCAAATCTGGGCCACTGAACCAGAGTGCGTGGAACTTGAACCACTCGGCCACTGGGCAGCCCCCATCTCCATTTCTTGCTGAGCAAGTCCTCAGTGGCTCTTATTTCCCTTATAACAAGCCTTTCTCCTGTCTTCCAGAGTTTACTACTTCCTCACGGGGTCTCTTTCCTGAAGGAGTCCCAGCCTCCTCTGCTAGCCACCCTTGCTGCAGGATCTTGAACTGCCCTTACTGTAGCGAAATGCTCACCTTCCTCATATGGCTTCCTTGCTTCGGATCCCCTCCTTACTGGAGTGTAGACCCCACTGATGGGGTCCCCGTGTCCTGACCCTTCTTTATCCTCATTGATGGCAAGTGCTTCACTAGCAAAACGTCTTGGCCCTCAGATAAGTGGCTATGCTAGATTCTCTGCCTGCCGCTGTTTTTACAAAGCTATTTTTTAGCAAATGAGGAAACTGGCTGAGAAATGAGCCCAAGTTGACAAGTTAAAAACTGGAATCTCCATGCATATGATTCCAGCCCCCTGGGTCTTTGCATTGCAGTTGAGGGCTGTGGATCACCCTGTCCTTTGGCTCCAGCAGTCAAGCACTGTCCTCAGTTAGCTCCCTGTAACCTGCACTGCAGGGATTAAGCACAGGCTCAGGCCTGTCCTGGGCTGTCTCCAGCCTGCCCTTCAGTCCCCCTATGATGTCACTAGGTGGTGCTATGGGGCAAGACAGGAGGCCAAAAGTAGTTCTTAGGGGCTGAAGAGGGGCTGAGTTTGACCCAGCAGGGATGGTCAGCCCGCTTGGGTTGAGCATCGCCAGGGCTCAGTTATGCTTGATATTCAAAAACACTTTTACAAGGTCAAGTATGGTAATTTAGGACTATAACTTAAGGATATAAATGATTGTATATATTTTTAAAGAAATTTCAGAGTTGTAAAAGGAACATGGACTTTGGAGTAACAACTGGATTGGAGTCCCAGCTTTGTCACCAACTAGCTAGTTATTACTTAACTTTTCTGAGTCTCACTTTCCTCCTCTGTAAAATGAAAATTAGCCTGCTTGTCTCTGAAGGGCAGGAGGGTTAAATGATAATGTGGAGCATCTAACACGGCTTGACACATAGTAGACCCTGTAAGTTGTATTTGCTGTCCCCTAGGGACTTCATGGATTTTTTTTAATGTGGAAACTTTTTTTCTGACCTTGTTACTAATTTTTGCTCTAAAACAACGCTCTGCAAAAAATTCATGTAAAATACATGGAAAGTTAGTTTGCCTGGTGGTTGGTGTGGTATTATTCATAAAATCGCCCTGTGGTGTGTTCTTGGATGCAGAGTATCTTAAAAATGTCTCTTACGCACAAGTTTATCATAGTTGGCCCCAGTTTTTATTTCAGAAGAGAGAGGTTAGGAATCCCAGGCTGTAAATAAGGGTCAAAGGGAAAAGTTGAGTATGCAGGATTCTGTTCAGAATTCACATCTGGTAGGTGTGGATGGATTTCACTAAAGAAGGTTTCCAACAAGTGACATGCCAAAGTCTTGACACAGTAAAACTTTTGCCTGAAGTCAGTTAATCACTCTGCCAGTTCCAATGCATGATTTTTCCAGTGATAACTTCAAAATACTTTCTGCTTTCTCATGAAGAGAAATATCCCTGACGCTTATGCCCCTTACATAGAAAAAGAATAAGCCTTGGGTTTTTCTGGAAGGTCAAAGCACCTTTGAGTAATAAATGAACTTGGAACTATTGGATTTTTTATACTATTGGCATTCATGCTAAAAAAAAAAAAAGTGTTAATTGAGGGCCTTTTTTTCTGCCATACATTTTAACTGACTTCAAATGACTTCGTTTCTTTTGGTTAAAAGTTTTTCACCTTTCTGTGTGCCAAGCATAAAATCTTGGTAGATCACCTGGCTTTGCAGAATTCAAGACACTCACCCATTTGAGTACTCCGGATAGGACTGCTTTACAGATTTATAGCAAAGGTCTCTACAGAAAGGGAGTGTTTTTGTGTGGTAGAAGATACCATAAAGTGAAAAAATAAACACTTGCAGTCATGAAAAAGAGTCAAATACCCAAAGAGATTTAAAAAAACATAAAATCTAGAAGAGGACATGCAAATGTGCAACAAATGTATGGAGGGAAAAAGTCCAGCCTCACTAGTCATCAGGGAAATGCAAAGTAAAGCCGTGAGATGCCCTTTTTCCCTCATCACATTGGCCAGAATTAAAAAGATCACTACCACCTGGTGCTGGCAAGGACTTGGGAAATGGGCATTCTTAAATATCGCTGATAGAAATGTGAATTGCTACCCCATTTTTGCAAAGTTATCTAGCAATGTCCATTAAAATTTAAAATCTACATACCCTCTGACCCAGCAAAGTGATCTTTGGAACCTATTTGATGAGAATAAAAAGCACTGATACACAAGGACATAGGTAAAGGGCTGCTTTGTTTATGATAGCAAAACGTGAAAGCAACCCAAGTGTCTGATAATATGTAAGAGAAGACGTACACGGAAATGTTGGTACTGTGTTTCCACATCTTGCATCTAAAAAGAATGAGTAAGATTTACATGTAGTAATCTCAAAAGGTGTTTATGATAATTAAGTGAGGAAAGAAAGAAAGTAATATGTAAAATATATTACTGTGACATTGGCTGCCTGAGGGGAGGGCAGGGGAACATCATTAGCTTTTACTTTACGTGTATTTCCACTATTTGGATAATCTAACATTTTTCTAATAAAGTAGAAAAAGAAGAGCTCAGAAGTCAGTCTTCCTCTAACACATTCCCGGTAAATGAGTACTAGCTGTGCTTCCGCTCTCCCAGCATGGAGAGTCCATGTCTTCTGTGCGTTTGTTCCAGCATAGAGTTACGTGTTCTGCTGAGGGCTTTCTTCCTTGAATCTGCAGCCAGAACTTTCTCCATATAGATAATGTAGAAACCGCTGGTCCCATCTTTATATCAATTCTTTGAGTAACTACGAGGGACTAATTTAATGGTCAGTGGGCAGTAGGGAAAGGAACCAGGCTTCAGTATTCTTTGATCGGGAAAGTGTTGTTGCTCTGCAACTGGAAAAGAATAGACAGTTTCCTTCAGTCTAGACGTGACAGGAACCACCTCTGCTGCCCTTCAGCCGCTTCCATACTTGCCCTTCTCACTGGGAAAAAGTTATTTATCTTTAACTCAAACTCTTAGCTATGTGTCAGGAACCTTTTAAGAAGTGCATACATTCAATTTCACTTATCCCTAGTAATTCATTCATAAAGCACAGGTGTCCCTTTAAACTTCTACTGTAGTCCACTGGAAAAAATCTGAAATGATGGCTTTTCTGAGTATTTTTCCCCACGATAGACCTTTTTTTAAAATTTGCTTTTTTTCCCTATATGAGAAAATTGAAAGGGAGTACTTACCCTTGTTCTGTAAAAAGAAAAAATTTTCTTTTCACTTGACCTTCAAATATGAGTCTGGCCGACTAGCATTAGTACCGGTTGAGCTAAATTCCTGATTGTTTTTATTTCCTTCTTTTTTTTTTTTTTTAAAGATTGGCACCTGAGTTAACATCTGTTGCCAAGCTTTTCTTTTTTCCTTCTTCTCCCCAAAGCCCCCCAGTACACAGTTGTATATTCTAGTAGTGAGTGCCTCTGCTTGTGCTGTGTGGGACACCGCCTCAGCACGGCCTGATGAGCAGTGCCATGGCCATGCCGGGGATCTGAACCGGCAAAACCCAGGGCTGCCAAAGCAGAGCGCACAAACTTAACCATTTGGCCACAGGGCCGGCCCCCGCTTTTTTTTGATAAGGGTTCTTTTTAGGAAATGGGGTGTTAATAAGAAGATGTAACATGAAGCTACATTTACTTAGTTTCACGTGAATCCTATCCAGCATTTTACAAACTGAGAGAAAAGCATTGACATGTATGAAAGGAAATTGGCAGTGGAGGAGAGGGGCATGAGGAGTGACCCCTAATAGGTAGAGGGGTTCTTTCCGGGGTAATGAAAATGTAAAATTGGTTGCACAACTCTGAATACACTTCCGTTGAATTGTGAATTATGTCTCAATATTAAAAGAAATGAGAAGCCCTGGTGCACCTCTATTATCTGTGCTTCTGTTTATGGAAACATTTTAAATTCTTAGCACAAAGGAAAATGCTAACAAGTCTGGTAAACATACCTCGCTGGGCCAAGGCAGGGCCCTGGCTCCAGTTTCTCTCCTGCAAAGAAGTGCTGCCCTTGTGTTTATAAACTCAAGCAGGTACTAATAACACGCAGTTCTATAAGTGCACTTGTTATTAAGCTTTGTGCTAATGTCTTCTGAGAGATCATGCTCTAAGAAGGGATAGTGGCTCAGATTAAAAGGAGGGGAAGAATGTGAACTGAAAAGTTCAGTTCCATCTTGATTATAAAAATGAGCGTTGTGATACTCGCCAGACTGCTGCTTAACAGTGTCAGCGTTGACTTATTCCAATGCAGATCTCTGGTCTTCGGCAGGTGCGCAACAGATAGACAGTAGGTTTAGAGAGAGCAATTTGGGGCAACCGTCCAAGATGAGAAGTGCCTGCTCTGGGTTTAGGGTAGGAAATGGTCACCATGTGTAAGAATGACAGGTTGGAAAATTAGGACCATTTTCTAAATTCTTATTTGCATTTTAGTAATAACATTTCTTAGCTTTGAGACTTTACATAGTACAAGAGCAAGATTCGCTTATTCAGTTGTAAGGATGAAAATCTTAGATAAGAATGATTTTGAGGTAATCTTACACCGTCAGTGTTTTGGTAGCATAAATCAAACTAATATTTTTCTTTTCCCCAGCTGGTGTCATAGATGAAGATTATAGAGGAAATGTTGGTGTTGTACTGTTTAATTTTGGCAAAGAAAAGTTTGAAGGTATGTTAAATACGTACAGTCATGTAAACACTGAGTTTTCTGGGTTGTGTATCTGTAGACCACACATACTGACTCCTAATTCTCATTGCACAAAGCAGAATACAGAGAATGCATCAATGAAGTGTCACTAATAAACTGTTTGGTTTTTTTTTCCTTTCAAGTCAAAAAGGGTGATCGAATTGCACAGCTCATTTGTGAACGGATTTTTTATCCAGAAATAGAGGAAGTTCAAGTAAGTATCTTAAAGCTGAGTAGGGAATGAACCACGCAACGTCTTAAGGGAAGAGAAAAGTATAATTTTGAGGATTTATATGCTGTATGTAAGTAAATAGTAGTGTATAGGACTAGTCCTATTTTAAGCAAAATTAAAATCTTAGTTTTAGAATTTCTTGAAATGTTTTTCATAGCTATTGTATAGTATTACTTTGGATAATCATTTATACTGTGAAATTGTAGGATTTCCCTGGCTTCTTTGAAAATTATCCAGTATTTTAATTTCTGGAGCTTTTTAAAAATTTAATTTTCTTTTTGTAATCTCCTTTTTGAAAAGATGATAGCAATAGTAAAAGTCTTACAAATTAGGCCCTGGGGAGAACTGCAAGAGGGTCTGGAATTAACTCTATGGCTTACCACCTTTATGTCTTTTCAGGTTCTGGATGTCACTGAAAGGGGGTCAGGAGGTTTTGGTTCCACTGGAAAAAATTAAAATTCCAAGAACAGAAAATGAGAAAACGTACTTTTTTCTTAAAGCGTTTTTGGTGTTTTGTACTTCTGTAGACTTAATAGCTTTAACTTCTAAAGATATTTGTTCTCTTCTTTTCAGGGAAGGGGCACCTCTGTTGGAATCACAGAGAAACTTACTTTCTTGTGTTTTTCTGCATTTGGTTGTTGTATGAATCTCTGTGGTGACCTAATGCAGACAGTTTTGTTAATCAGATGTACATTATTTACACATCCAAAAAAGACTGTCTGATTTAACTCAACTGAATGCTACCCCTTCACTTCAGCAAGCTATTTTATTTCAATTGCTTTATAAATCATAAGCAGTGCCTTTCATTCAACAAATTTGATTTCTTTCACAGATGCAAATTATTGCATAAACTGAACTAAAAGATGACAAAAAGAAGTTAAAGTTATTCTTTGTTTTTCTCTTCATTGGTCTAAAACAATTTTTGTTATGTATTTAAGATGCTTTGTGAAGGTGGGAGGAAGAGAATCCTCAGTGTATTTTTTTAGTGTTCTCTTTGTTTTTTTTAATCTTCCTTTCGGTGGACCCCGGGTTGACTGGTGGAGAGGTGTGTTTGTGAAAGGAAATGTAGTTTGGGAATTTGCGGTTGGTTTGTTCCTCTGAATTTCATTCCATCAAGTAAATTGTACAAGTTGTAGTTGTATGAGTTTCCTTCACTGAAGTAACGATAATAGGCTGTATCCAAGAAAATATTGAATTAGGGATTGAATAGGGATAAAATACATGTAATGATAGATGTTTAGGCCACTAGGTATGTCGAGGCCAGCTACTTTTGAGTAAATATGTCTAAGCAGCATTTCATTGTGGATAGGGGCTGATTCCCTGGATTAGCTTGATTAACATCTGTTATCACCTTCCAGGTGTGCTTTCCTCTCCTGTATTTCCCAGACCCCTTTGCATGGGGCTTTGGGCATCACTAAGGCTTTGTCAATCAGATGCTCTAGTGTGAGACTCCTGAAGCATCATTTTGCTAGTGTGGGTCATGAAGACTCTACTTCTGGAGCTGGCAGCTCACTTGGCCACCCAGTTCCTAGAAGCACAGGCTGGAGTTAGTGTCTTCTGTGCTTCCAGTGATTCTTGGGCCATTTAATATCCTGCAATGTAGTATTTTCCATCTGTGGGTCACAATTCATTAGTGAGTCATGAAGTCAACTCAGTGGGTCATAACTAGCATTTAAAAAAATTGAATAGAAAAAGCAGAAACATGTCAGATGGGTAAATACTGTGAAGATTGTTTGAATTAAACATTTATGTGTGCCCGTGTGTACTGTCATGATGTAAATTATTTCTGAAATCAATAAGATTTAAATAAATTCTTTTCTGCTAAACTAGCCAGAATGATTCTATTCCCTGAACCCTGACCAATACATGTTAACAAATGAGTAAGAACAAATAGTCTGATCAACTACCGAGAGATACTGCCTTAGCTTACTCTCTTAGTGTTAGTTACCACTATTGAAAGTCGACTACCTTAAGCACTTTTACAACCTGCTTATTTCTTTCTCATAGTATACCTGTGGGAGAACAGATAAAACACTTGTTTTATAGATGACAAAAATGGGCTCAGAGACATTTGGTAACTTGCTTCACATTTCAGTTAATGATGGTCACTATTAAAACTCGGATCCCATGGCTTCAAAGCCCATTGTATTTGTGGTATCTTCAGTTTTCCAAGTGGTAGAGTGAATACAGAATGGAAGTGATGGTTAATGAAAGTCCTCTTTTGTTCATACTTGGAATATATTTCCATCTGGGCACCATACTTAAAGGAGGATGCTCTGAAGCTACTCTGAAAGAGGCTTGGAACCACATCCCTGGGGGATAGATGAGAGACCTGGATGGGGTTTGGGGGGGGGGGGGGATGTTTGGAGAAGTGTGTGCGTTGGGAATCCAAGGAATATGGAGGAAGGGGTGGCTAGAGAAGGTCCCTGGGATATGACAGATGTTCTTAGATATTAAAAATCTGACTCGGAATTGTCATTGTCATTTGTGACCTGAGGGACTGGAACTAGGATCCTCGGGTTTAATCAACCAAGATGGTGGCAGTGAGAATAGAAAATAATGTAATGATCTCTGCCCCTTGTTCCTGGCACAGCTCCTAAAGCCCCTGTATTTCCTTAAGTAAGTGACGAGCACGAGGACGATCTCTTGTTCTAATATTGGTCGTTGACCTCTGTTCTGACACAGAGCTCCTGAAACCCTTGTAATTTCCTGGACGATGGGAGTGTTGTCCTAATGTGGTGACTAGGTGGGTTCCCGGTTGGCTCCTGGATGAGGACTGTTTACCAGAAAGATCAAGCCATGATTAGAACCTTGGAATTTTCAGCCCTGGCCCCATTTTCCTTGAGAAGGGAGGAGGGCTGAAAATGGAATTGATGATCATGCCTACATAATGAAACCTCCATAAAATTTCAGAAGTACAGGGTTCGGAGAGCTTCCCGGTCTGAATGCATGGAGGTGCTGGGAGAGAGGTGCACCCACAGTGCACAGAAGCTCTGCGCCCCTTCCCACCTACCTTGCCCTACTCATCTCTTCCATCTGGATGTCTAAGTGTATCCTTTATCATGTCCTTTAATAAACTTGTAAGTAAGTTTCCGAGTTCTGTGAGCTGCTCTAGCAAATTAACCAAACACAAGGAGAGGGTGTTTGGAATCTCCGATCGATAGCCGGTTGGTCAGAAGCACAGGTGACAATCTGGACTTGGCAGCTGGCATCTGAAGTGGGGAAGGGAACAGTCTAGGACTGAGCCCTTAACCTTTGGGATCTGACGCTATCTCTGATAGATAGTGTCAGAACTAAGTGAAATCATAGGACACCCAACTTGTGTTGCAGAAAATTGTTTGGTGTGGAGAAAGCCTCCACACATTTGGTGATCAGAAGTGAAATGTTTTATATGAGTAGTATAGGAGATTCACAGGGAAGAAAGACATAGTAGGGAAGAATTGGGTTTTTCTCTACAAAGGAAGGAAAAAAGCTGAGTTTTTCCTTTACAGTGGCATAAGGACAGACTCATGGTTCTCTAAAACAGCAAATTCAATGAAGAAAAGCAAGACTATGCCATATGGAAGAGAACAATACAGTCTGCTGGAGTGCGATTGTTGGAAACTATCTTCTATGTTATATATGCAAAGTTTGAATATTTTATAGTAGTTTTACTCGTTTTATTGGGAAATATAACATTTAGGAAAGTATGATGTAGTGAATAACTACAAAAATAGAAGCACCTAGGGGCCTGCCTAGTGGTGCAGCAGTTAAGTTCGCACGCTCCACTTCAGTGGCCCGGGGTTCATCAGTTCAGATCCTGGGTGCAGACCTATCACCATTCGTCAAGCCATCCCACATAGAAGAACTAGAAGGCTGTACAACTAGGATATACAGCTATGTCCTGGGGCTTTGGAGAGAAAAAAAGGAAAGAGAGGAAGATTGGCAACAGACGTTAGCTAGGGGGCAAGCTTCCTCAAAAAAGAAAAAAAAGACACACCTAAATAGTGCTCTAGTTTGGTTTGCCAGGAGACGAAAGCCTTACGCTGATAAGCTTTGTTTTCTTCCAGTCCGCTGGAATCAGTTGGTGGTAAAGGGAAACCAGGGAGCATCCCTATACAAGGGCAAGTTCTTCCTCCCCATGAGAAAGGAAAACAAAATTGTTTACCGATGGCCAAAGAGAAGCATCATTTTCACATGTAGGCTGCACCTCATGATTTCCAGATTAACTACAAATTGAATAGCAATTACCACTCTATCAGTTTAGTAACCTCCCAGGCAGAAACCAGGCAGTTTTCCTGTTCCTTGACAGTTCTGCCTCACTCGCTAATGATGCCCACTGTCCACTCCTGTCCTTGCTACTGTGTACATCAGAAGAGAAATAATCAGGGAGACTCCTACAAACTAGCCTGGTGCTCCATCAGTTAATTTAGCTTGGTGGCTATCTGCAGAGGAAGTCACATACTAACCCTTGGCCTAGGTGGATGGGGGGCCTGGGTGCCTTCCCTGCATGGTACTTCATGCCACATGGCTTCTCCATCCCACCTGGCAGGAGATATCAAATGATAATTTCCTCAAATTCATTTTCCATTTTATGAATGGCAGAATGGCAGCAGGCTGGAGGGCTAATCTCTGCAGGCACTTGGAGTTTTGTGAAGTGAATATATCAGAGTTTCGGGTCAAGGGGCCTTGCACTGTTGGCATAAGTACATGAGTACTGAGTCCAAGTTATCACATAGAACGTTCTCAGGAAGGCTCGAACCCCAGTGCTCTTGCTTTGACTATCCCCAGATCTCCCTCGGTCCTGTTTCTCTTTGCACTTCTTTTCCTCTGCATCTTCAACTCCAGCGGCGGCTCCAGTTAGGAGAGTACCAATAGTCTGTACTTACCTCCGCCTGCCACTTCCTTTCCCTGCTGCTAACGTCTGCTGCATGCTCTGAGGTAATGGTGACAGACTGTCGGTCACAAGGACGGCAGCTTGCAGAGGAGGATCGAAATCACATGGGCCGAAATTCAATGATAAACATTCATCGTAATATTTATAGTCAGAGAGTATCCCTGGAGATGGAGAAAGCTGTTCATGCAAACCCCATGCTTAGAGGGATACAATCATTCTGGTAACGATAATAGTGTGGTCTTTGATCAGGCATTTAAAGCCATTTTAGCTTCTCTTCAGTAGGGTAAAATATGCTATTTTATATAACTGACCTGATCCTTTTAGCTGAGAAATACCCGCTATATTGTATAATCATCCTAAGAAGAAAGGTGAGATTGGCAGGAATAACTTCTCAAAGGTGAAAATAAAATTTCTCTTGCTGAAAAACCGCATTTCCATTTGGAGATGGATTATGTACACAGTGTTTTGACATTGCTCTTTTCCTTATTGAAAGGAGAACGAGAAAAATATATATAAATGAAACTAAAATTTCCACTGAGGAAATAGTCTCAAGAAGTATATGAAGAAAAGATAAAGAAGTATATTAAAAATGATTCCCCTTATTAGCAACTAAGCATGGTTAAATTGGGAGAATTTTAAAAGATCCAGAAGGTCTCCTAAACAAAATATCTAATTACTATTTATGAAAGTAAATTATAGAGAAAATTTAAGATTAACAAGTTGCTAAATTATGTCTTGGTTTGATCGTAATTTTTAAAAATGGGTCTAGCAGATGAGTAAAGAAACCTCTGAGAGAATATATGCCAAAATAATGATTATGTCTGGCTGTTGGAATTACTGGTAATTTTTTCCTTTTTGCATTATCTATAACATTTTTTAACATGAAAACTATATTACTAGGTTAAAAAAAAGCTTAAAATTTTATGATAAAATGTTTGTTTAATTTTGATCACATTCACTATCTTAATAAGTATTTTTAATATTGGAAATATGTGGGAAAATTATTACTATAAATTATAAATTTTGAAGAAAACATATGCACATTGGTATTATGGAAAAGCACTAGCTTTGGGAATTTTAGACCTGAGTTGAAATTCTGTTCTTTTACTAACTAAAAGATCTTGAATAAATAAAATAACCTTACAGAGCCTCAATTTTCTTAAAATAAGGAGAGCACATCAGATAATCTCCAGGGTCTTTTCCTGCTCTTCTGTTCTGTTTTGTGAATTTTAAGATCAGACTTTATGGCTGTAGCAAACTACTGCCACCTAGCGGCAGTTATCTAACATGAGGGGACTGTATTTGCGGTCTAAAATCGTCATTTATTCATTCATGTTTATATTTGCCTAAATCTATATGCTGGGTAAGTGCCAGCATCATCATTCATTCAGTTTAGTGTTTTTCTACATGATAGAGGTGAAAACAAATAAGATGTGAGCTGTCACATGCTAGTTGCGTGACCTTGAGGACATCGTTTAGTCACTTTTGAGTCTCTGTCTTCCCATCTGAAAAACAATATCCATCTTACATTATTGGAAAATCTAGAGATGGTGGATGTAAAGTATCTCACACAGTCCATGGCAAAGAACATTTGGTCAATAAATGGTAGCAGTTATCTTCAGGAAAGTTACCATCCAGTAGGGGAAATAAGACAAATACAGAAATCTGTGCAGTTTGTGATATGCCTTGAAAATACAAACAAGGCACAAACATGTTCAGAAAATGGCAAAACCAAAGTTCCAACAAACTGGAGTATAAAAGACATATGTTTTTAGGAAGTTGCTGGTAATTATTCTGGAATGGTAGGTTGCAGGTCCACTCTGGAGGGTCCTAAATACCAGGGAAGCAATGGCCGACCTTAGACGAGTTTGGGGCAAAGAGTAACATCACCAGAGCTGACCTTCGGGAAGATTGATATTAATCTAGTGTCTGTGCCAATGAGGTTAAGAGACC